GAAAGGCAATCCCACACAATTCTCCGATAACACTACCTAGAGTTGAAATTGAGATTCTATTTATTTATTTATTTATTTATTTATTTATTATTTATCTTTGTTGTTGAAAGCATTACAGCATTACATAGGTCCCCTTTGCCCCTCATTGACACCCTCCTAGCCCAGGCCCTCACCATCCCACTGTAAGCGTCCATGGGGAAACAGAAATTTTAATTTCTAATTTAAAATTCCTGTGTTTTGTATCCCTCACTTTCTCTCAACCACCCAGCAAACACAATGACGGGGAGATTCTGGGCTAGAGAACTGTCAGAGAAAAACCCCCTTTCTACACTTTGCACTGCACAGTGGTGCTGCATTTTCCAGATTGGAGGGGTTTTTCCTTGTCAGTAACAATCCAAATTCCTATCCCCATTCCCAAGATCTGAATTTTAAAAGTTTTTTTAAAAGATTATATAAATTAATGAGCAGTAAACTAAGAGTTTTAAGAACCTGTACCCAAAGAAAACAGCTTCCATTTTGTACATCTTTTTTGAAAAATAAAAGTTATTTCCAAATATTGATGCTGTCTTAAGTGTGCATGGCTCTTTACAAATTATAGAGTGTGACTTCATGCTTCACATGACCCTATGAGGAATGACATCTTAAGAAACACTCAATTCTTGTAAGCGAAAAGGAATTCTTTATCACTCCTTTCTATGTATATTGCTTGCAATCTTATTTTATTAGGCATTATGGTAGGAAATTGAATTTGCAGAACAAAAGAATTCAGCATTAAGGGATACAGCAGAGATATGCACAATGTGGTATGGAGCACCAGGAAGAACTGAGCTGGGTCTTAGTCAGATAAAAAGTAAAGTTTGTGCTTGTCATGAGATGAAAATTGTATTATGGACCCCCCAAATTTGGAGATGGTTGGAACTTTGATTTGAGAAAAATGGGAGTACATACAGGGTAATATGAATTAATGAACATGGGATTTTTTCAAGCATGTCATAAATTCAATACTTCTTAAAATTGTAATGATATTAAGTAACTTTCACCAGAGAGAGTCTAGAGAAAAGTAAGTTTATTACAGAGGAATCATCTAATTTTTTGAGGCCATTATCTAAAGTGTTAAGTATAATGAATTTGTTTTGATACTAGAATACAAATAAAGTTTATAATGATTTGTTCAAGGAATTAAAATGGAAGTGGCAAACATTCAAAGTCCATATGTTTGAGTGTGCTTTTAGATGCTCAAATTAGTTCAAAGTAACAATATCAAAGGCCCAAAATGAAAAGAAATCAGATACCATTTAAATCCCCAATATTGAACATTTCACAGACCAGACACTATTATAAATAGTCTAAAATAGTAAAATTTTTTATCTTAAAGCAAACAGCAAGTAATAGCAATTTAGAACTCAATTAGATTTGTAGTTTAATTCTCCAGAACTTCTGTCTTCATTTTCTTGATAGAAGAAAACTGATTCTATCTATTAAAAGGGAAAAAAATTATAGGTAGGAAAAGATCCTTCTTTGTCCAGTATTTGACTAAGAATGTTTACTAAATGTTTCTGGAAAATAAAATTTAAGATATCTTAGATAGGATCCCCCCAGGACCTGACTGCCTGAGTTCCGTCAGAAAATCATTGCGGATTGTGATAATTTAAAAAATTGGTTCAGAAAAGTTTGATTAATGGAACACTCTTGATTTGTCTTTTTTTATTTTTTATTTTAGGGGATGACATACAAAGAAATATTAGGAATGTTTGTTTTATAATCTGAAAGATTGGTTTTATTTTTAGGAATGTTCTAAAATGAATTTCTCAAGTGTAGCCTAATTTATTGAGCAGAGTAATAATCATTGCTAATTCTCAGAATTCTGAAACACAAAATTCTCCTAATTATTAAGACAGACAGCCTTGTTCAGAAAGATTTTTCAAAAAGAGGTTGAGTAAAAATTTCCTTTCAAAAAATAACAAGAGGAGTGACTCAGAAAATATGCTTGGGATTTTTTTTCCCCTTATCCATTTAATGTTAGTTACATAAGGAGAGTACTTTGAGAATAACATTTGGCTTATGAACATCAGAAACCTACATGATTGGTCAGTGTGTTTTAAATTCAGAAGATTGAAAGCTAGAGGAAATTGGAAAATACTCTTGCTATCCAAAAATTAATAGAGTTTACGCAATTTAGTACTGCAAGAGTATTAACATGTAAAGCCTATTATAGGAGAAATGTCCAGACTTAGAAGAAATAGTAGACTTCAAACTATTTCTGACCAACAGCTTCATAGTTTTGAGGAGAAAAATGTAGTCTATGAATTCTATAGTCACCCAATTGTCAGTCATGTATTAAGTCAGCTGGAAGAAAATATTAAATCATAAAAGCTCAGTCTATATACTTTTGTATTCATAAAATCAGAAAGTTATATTCAGAAGAGATCAAATCAACCCTTATTCTACCTGGCATTCATTATATAGATGGACAAATTAAGTCACAAAAACACAAACATCTAACTATTCATCTATATAATTTTCTCTTAGAAAAGAATGAACTGTGGAAATTTACCCATTTTTATTACCTTTGATAATAAATTTAAAAAAATCAACAGTCATGAAAAGTATTTGAAAATTTTTTCAAAATGCATTGATATAAAATTGGTATTATTATAGAAATTCCTCACATCTAGCACAAAAATCAGAGTTGTGCCTCAACCAATCTACTACATTGAAATTTTGTAATAATCTATTAGGGTTTTGAGGCTGAGGACTCTAAATATATCATGTATAAATTAAACACATAATTATGGACAAAACATAAATTATATATAGATACATATTATATATATAAGAATATCTATCACTACACATGTAATAGTTTTTAATATGCATATATATCACATAATAGTTTATAATATACATGATATGTGATATGTGATATATGTGCATATTTAACAAGAAAGTGTACTGGTCTAAACCCAGTAAATGCTTATGGATAGACATTTGGCCTGATGGCCTCGCAGCCTGGTGGCACAGAACACAGGAAAAGAAGAAAGTAAATGATTTATTATATGTCAAAGTTATGCCTCAAAATATTTCATGTTTCAAAGTCAGGCTCTATTTTTGTCAGTAAACATAATATCATAAACCTAATAGAAAAATTACCTATCTTCTAAGAATGAAGAAAAGCTAGAAATTATCAATAAAAAATTATGGGTGTAGGTTATGCAACAACTGAACTCAAATCAGTGGCAGTCCTTGGTTTGTAAAATCAAAGGTGCACTTCAATTTTTTCTCTTGAATAAATTTATATTGTATCTCATTTTAATTTAAATCTATGAACCTAAATGGCCACATAAGCTACCAAGTACAAGGAACATTACTTCATCAGAGTATGCTTTATTGAAATTGTTTAAAATCATCTCAATTTGTAGCACTTGCCAATTTCCGGCATGTAAGTACAAAGAAGGGTAATTTTATCTTGAAGTCATTCTCATATCTCTTTCAAATTATATCATGCACATTCATTGCTGCAAATTCTATTTTAAAATAAAATAGCATATTCATTTCTCTTGGAGTATGCTATATGAGCATTACCATCCTTAAACATGAATCTCAGTTTCTGTATCTTAACTAGCAACACCAAAAGAGTAGCATTGGGTATGACAGGATGACAGTCAGAGACAATTCATACAGACCAAGTGATTTGCTCATAATTATTTTATCTTGATTCATAGACTGCATAGACTGGCTAACTCTTCTAACTTTCTTTGCTTTATGAATACCATTAGAATAGCTACATATTGGATGATATCCTGGTATACTGGCATTCTAACAACCCACTAGCATACAAAAAACAAATGACACTGAATGTGAAATTGGGAAAAGATGTGCAGACTCTTTCCAGCAGAACACCGTGGTGAATAAATATTTCCTCAAATTTGTGTTTATTCTAATAGTCTGTCAAAATATTCAGAAACTTTTTGGTGGGTTCCAATACATTCCATTAAAGACAATTACAGTAAGTGATGTTAACATAATTAAAATTTTAAACAGTAATAGGCAACATTTTATTAAACTCTAAAATGACAAAAACACTCTCAAGTAAGTAATTCATTTAGAGCAAAAATAAAAGAATAGGTTGAGGCTACATTATGATAAAAAATGTTCATTATAAACAATATCATTGAAAACTTCCAAACTATTATCTGTGCTATGGTTTGGAAAATGCAAATGACTGCATCATCTAATTAACAAGTGAAAATTATCATTGTGCATTTTGAAAATCAAATTGTAATATTTTAGTGAAAGAAACTGATCAAATATAAATTTTATGGGACATTAGGTACATCTATAGAGTTCATTATTTTAAAATGATTATAACACAACAATTCTGAATGTTATCTAAAGTAGACAGAACCTAGCATAGCAGTTGGCAAATTTTTTACATAAAGGATCAAAGAGTACATGATTTAGGCTTTGTAGACCTACTATATCTATTGTGAATACAGTTCTGCTATTGTAGTGGAAAAACACCCATGATCAACATGCAAATTAATGATTTTGGCTGAGCTCCAATAAACAATGTTTACAGAAACAGCAACAGGTGGATTTTTGCACTTGGGTTGTCCATAATTTGCTGACTTGACTTTAACATATACTAAATCATGTTTTTATGGCCCTGATTTCAATATTATTTTTCTTATAATTTATGAAACAAGCTCTACAACCAAAGTACCTTTTATTTATACTATTGTGGCAGTCAGTAAAAAATCTTGACTAATTTCTGTTTCTTAAACAACATATTCCTATTGCAAACCACTTGCCAAAAGGACAATGCAATTGAACATAAAATGAATATAGTTATGGACATATCTTCTATATTGCTACATAAGAATTTTAAAATTAAACATATGAAAAGGCCTTCCAGACAGTAAAAAAAATAGGAAATCTAAATATTAAATTGCTTCATAGTTAGTGAGTTCATATATTTTATTTGACATCCTTATTCTTACCTTCCGCAAGTCTCCCTGTCTGTTCTGCACTTCCCCCAGGAAGAATCTTGGCAATATACGCTCCAATTTCTCCGCTGTGTCCAGGAATTTCTTTACCACCCACAATTCTAATTCCTAATCCATTACCTGTATTGAAGAAGCAAAAAAATTATTATTAAGAATTTAAGGAGGGAAAACAGTTATCACAAATTATAAGGTGCAAAGCGGCTTTGCTGTCCAGAAGTTAACTAGAACATGGATATTGGAACTGAACACCAATTACAAAAGAAATTTTTAAATTTCCATAGTAGTTTATATAAAATAGAACTTTCTGAAATCTTTGTAGGAGCTGTAGTAATTAACCTGATATTAACAAATACTTTTTAAGTTCAGTTATCTTCAGTAACATACTAAGACTTTGTCCATATTAACAAATTATTTTGTAAAAAAAAAAAATGAATATGTTCCCAGTATAAGAAACTCCAGAGCATACACTTTACTTATAAAACTAAGGAGCATTTTGCTTACATAAAGATAGCAAAGACTATAATAGATTAAGACTGCATAATCCAAATATACAGATGATTACAACTGACAAAGTGCAAACATGATCATAACATATGCATTATTATCATTGGTTCTTAAAATATCCTGCATTTTAAAAAAATATTTTTATTGATTTTAGAAAGGGAGAGAGAGAGATAGAAACAAACAATAATAATGAAACAGAATCATGGATCTACTGCCTCCTGTATGCCCCTCGATGGGGATTGAGATGGATACCCAGGCATGTTCTCTGACCAGGAATCAAACTATGACCTCCTGGTTCATAGGTTGGCAACACTCAACTACTGATCCACACCGTTCAGGCAATACCCTGTATTTTACACATGAAGACAATGAGGCTTTGCAAGGTTAGTTGCTCAAGATAACATCCAATATATGGGGAAAGCTAGAGTGGGGTCCACACTCCCACGCCAAGTGAGTGACTCAGCGATGTGTCTCTTGTTTGATTAGAGCCAGTGCACCTGGTTGAGAATCAGAAAGGATGGGTTTGGCAGGGGTACAGCCAGACTTTGTTTACTCACTCCGTTGTATAGAGGAGAGTGATGGAATAGATTGAAATCAGGCCATTAAAAGGAGAAACTACCAAGATATATTAAAAAAAATGTCAGAAGGCATCATCTCTCAGTCAAGACTGAAAAGAAAAAATAATACATTTCTGGCTTAGGCAGCCCACAAAACATACAGTATAACATAATCTGTAACTATAACTAATTAGTTGGATTATGCTTGTTTTGTACTTCTATTTTTTCTATTGATGAATTAATTTTAGCTTTATTTTTTAGTTTTACATTTTTAAATCATTTTTTAATTTTAGTATTTGTATTACAAATATGAATTGCACATCAATATTTTAAATTTTCTTTGCAACTTTTCATGTTGGGTACTATCCATACCATTTCTGGACAGAAAAGCTGAGGCCAAGGAAGGTTAGGAGCTTGCCTAGGTTGACCAGCACATAAAAATGTTAACCAGAGCCCATTTTCTTGCTTGACTCCTACATTCTTGTTCTTCTGTACATATTAGCTCAGCACTTTAATTGTCAAGAAAATATTCTAGAGGGTCAAGGAAAATCCTTATTCTTTAATTGAATCTCATTTCTTATTGCCAGTTTTCCAATAGTCAATTCATATACATTTTATATTTATACCATTCAAGTTCATTACTATTAACACTTATCCTCCTCTCCTCTAAGTGAAACATCTTTTTAAAAATATAATATATTTTATTGATTTTCAGCTGCCTCTTGCACACCCCCCACTGGGGATATGCCCGCAACCAAGGTACATGCCCTTGATCGGAATCGAACCCGGGACCTTTCAGTCCCCAAGCTGACGCTTTATCCATTGAGCCAAACCGGTTTCAGCAAAGTGAAACATCTTGAAAGCCTTCATCTTCTCCCCAGAGAATAAATTAATTCTTTTCATTTTATTTTATTAAGAATGCATAGAAAAGCGTGCTAACTTATTCAGTTAGAAGCAAAGCCTATAAGGTCAAGTCCTTAGCAGGAACATGACTATGCAAGCAACATTTATCCTGACAGATGTCTGTGGAAGTTAAGCTGTTAATGTAGAACTAGCCCTGACAATAAACACTTTCTCTGTTGCTGAGGGAAATAAAGGCAAGCTTTTATTAAAATTTACCAGGAAGAAATTGTGGTTTTAGAAGAGATTCCACCTGACACTTATTACATTTCTATTGATTTATACTTTGTTTATTTCTACAAATAAGCTGAGAGGCTTACAATGAAAACTGAATCACATATTACATCGTTAAAATAAAAATAAAAGAGAAAAAGCCACCCTGACTGGGGAGGTAGTAATTTCGGGTCTCAGGGCACATGTTCTCAAGGTGACACACGTTTTCTTTGTCTTCCACATGAAGCAGAAGAGACGACATAATTGTTTTAAGGTCCTAGTGTGAGGCTTGATCTGCTATAAAAACAAAGATTTCTCAGAAATGTTCACATAAATGATGCAGGAGTAATATTAAGTGGGTCTTTTTAAAAGCATATTTTTAATTGATTTCAGAGAGGAAGGAAGAGGGAGAAACACATTAATAATGAGAGAGAATCCATTGATTGGCTGCCTCTTGAAACCCAGGTATGTGCCCTGACCAGGAATCAAACCATGGCCTCCTGGTTCACAAGTCCATGCTCAACCACTGAACCACTCAGGCCAAGCAAGTGGGTCTTTAAGCCACATTGTTGCTTCAGTTCCTCTTTATTTGATGTGCCACATTTGAGGACAGCAGTGCAGTCTTAAGCAACGAAAATTAAATTTATAAAAAAAAAAACAACTTGTGTACCTCTTTTCATTATGGTTAAGCTTCTTTCAAAATTCAACTTTGAAGTAGACAAAAAAAAAATTAAAAACCATTTGTTCACATCCTAACTGGTTTGGCTCAATGGATAGAGCATCGGCCTGCATACTGCAGGGTCTCAAGTTCGATTCTGGTCAAGGGCATGTACCTTGGTTGCAGGCACATCCTCAGTGGGTAGTGTGCAGGAGGCAGCTGAATTGATATTTCTCTCTCATCAATGTTTCTAATTCTCTCTTCCCTTCCTCTCTGTAAAAAAATCAATAAAATATATATTTTTAAAAAACATTCCTTTACAAAAGAGGTTATATTTTCCATGGTTTCAATAATGCCCATCCTCTCTACTCAATTAAATTCCAACTCTCTGTCTTCCAAGTCCACTGTGATCTAGTCCTAACTTTGGTCCTATGTACACTGTGATAGAGCAAAACAAAACAAAAAACCCAAGTACCAGTACTCTATGCTCTTGCATATTAAGTAGAGAAGTCATTGAAAGAAAATAACAAGACTCTCTCAAATTTCTGGTTGTTTACTTTGTTCCTGACCACAGTCCTCACAGGACCCTGCATGGTTGTCCTGCTCTGCTCCCTCTGTTGTGAACATACGTGACTAACAGACCGCTGTCGTTCTCATCTGTCTGGCGTCAGATGCTGTTTGGCCATCACCTTACTCTTGGAGAAGAACCTCTCCCTCATTGTCTGACTGGATAGGAGGCAATTAACTAGTAAATACAGAATAAAATATAGCTTGATATTAAATGTTATTAACATGCGGCTTTTGATAGGAGACACTGCTGTTTTTAAAATTTGGTTTTTGAAGTGAGGTAATATATTTTTCTTAAGTTTGCATCATTTTACATTGCTACATAAACAGCAAATGAACAACTGCCGTCTTAGATTGGGGATGCAAATTGACAGAACTTGTCTGCTAAGAAAAGATGTCTAGGAAACATCGGAAATACCCCTTTCTTTCTACTCAGCGATTTTACTTCTGGAAATATATTTTAAGGAAATATTAGACACTCTGGAAGCATCTTTTCATCGTGGCATTGTATATTATAGTCAAAAGAAGAAGATAAAATAATGTCCAACAATTGAGGAGTAGTTGAAGTAAATATCTATACAATAAAATCTAGCCATTAAACATATGTATGTAAAGAATATTTGATATAACAACAGGAAAATGACTTTACCAGGCAACTTGTGCTATATTAAAAATATGCATATAAACTACATTACAATATACTCTCGACTATCAGTGTGTGTGTACATGGTATAAAGAAAACAGGAAGGGGAAGAAGAAAATATAAATTGTAAAATTTTGATGGCTTTTATATTAATCTTTATACTTTTCACTACTATTATATTGTACAAAGGATCTGGCTATCTGTCTGTCTATCTATCTATCTATCTATCTATCTATCTATCCATCTATCAACACACACACACACACACACACACAAATACACACATATTTTATGTATATACACAAAGAAGAATGAGAATGATATGTGCATTTAGCTACTGGCAGTGGAGAGCCAGATAAGAGGTTTGCTTTTGAGACCTCTAAGAGGAAACAGAGAAATAAAAATCTTCACGAGAAAAAGGGGGAAAAGATGTTTTAATCTATACCACAGATAAAATTCTTTTAGCAAATGAAGAAATACAGTATATAAAAACTGTACATGTGCATACATATACTCACTCATATTTTGTAGCACATATTTAATTTTCAATATACAGTTTGTAGTATTCATTGTTTTATGTGTATCAGTTCCATTTCAAATATTTTGCGAATTCTTGGAAGCAGAATTCTTGCATAGGATTTTCCTATATCTGCCTCATATCTGGTTTAAGGTTGAATCTATATTTGATATCAAATATTTACTTGTTTTTAATTGAAGGAAATTCCCTTTATGTAATTTTTTATTCTTTGAAAAATGTTAGAGCAGATTTAACAGCTAAGGTGGCTAAATTGTGTTTTCAGTATTTTTATTGAGGTGGAACATGAGGGTTTACTTATTTTTTCTAATATTGGAAAAGATATATAAAATTATTGCTATCATTCTATCTCAAGTCTGAATACTGACATATCTACATCACTTACAGAGACAGAAAGCAAATCTGACCTGTAATAGGGAGAGGAATGTTGGGCACTGATACTGGTAGCAGGCTCAAGGGAACTTTGTAATGACTGAAACATTCTAAACCAGTGTTTTAGATTGTGGTGAAGGTAGCGCAACTTCATAAATTCACTAAAAGTCATTGATTTGTGCACTTACAATGTGTACATTTATGGTATGTACATTATACCTCATTAAAGATGGAAAAATAATAGTACAAATAGCTACCCTTATTTGGTATTGTCATTAATTTAGAATCAATGATATCCGTTACATTTGTCTCGTATTCCTGAAAGCCCACTAAGATGGTGAACTAATGAGAAATAGAACATGAGCCATTATTTCCACAGAAGGCATTGCTATTTTTTGAAGCTAAACATTTTTATGTTCAATATTACACTTGCTAATTAGCCTTTTTAGCCTTGCAGATGTAGCCAATCCATTACGGATCTATTTAAGCAATATCTTTTTTTTTTTTTTAAGCCAGAAGAATATTTTAGGCTTGTTTAAAAAACAGCTGTGTTTCTAGAGCTATAAGATAGAGTACTAAGTAAAAGAGACTCATTTTTTTTAAGCTTTACATTTTATTCTTTTTTTCCTGATAATTTCTAAGAGAAGTGGAAATAACATTTGCTGGGAGTTAGTAAGTACAAGATTTTGCACTAGGTTCAGTTATGTGAGACTCATAGAGCTGGTCTTACTGCACTTATAGAGAAAAGTTATTACCAAAATTTATATAAGTGATAGAGCTGAACCTCAATTCTGGTCTTTCTGATTCTAAAATTCATTAACTATTCTCTCCATTTTGTGGCCTTGTGTTTGGTTGAGATCACTTGACCTAAGGACACCTGAAAATTATATTTACCCTATAGTAATCAATACAAGGTAACCAATACAGGGTAAATATAATGGAAAATATTTGAATTATTATTTTAGGGAAATATCAGAAGAAAATGGGATGTTCAGAGAAATGATATAGTATACTATTAAACTTAATTTTCAAAAACAATAATCTTCATTTCTCATTCTGCAAAATCTATATATGAGAAAATTGAATTTAGTTTTCAGACTACAATACTTAAGAGGAATCAATAGCTCTTATTTCTGCTATTCATATATTTTTAAAAAATTTCCTAATTGTAGCAGAAGGAAACAAAATAATGAGTGGCAAAATATAACTAGTTGATGGAAATTATTCATATAGTATCCAAATAATAATAGAGCTAAAAATAGATACATTGTAATAGAGTCCTCGTGATTTAGTAAAAATGGTTTGAATGTTTCTGTTTTAAAAAAATAATGTTTGCCATTGTTGGAAAGTATTATGTTGTTTTGCCATATGAGCTGGAGGGAACTGAAATAATTTGTAGCAAGTAATTATTTCTACAAAAACAGTTAAGATTCACCTCTGGAATTTTCATCAGTAGTTAAAATACAATCTGCACACAATAAAACTATAAAGGTTGAATTATCTGTCTCTGGTGGAAGACAAATTACCCAATCTTAAAAGGGAAAGAACATTAGCCTCCTAATCGATTCATTCTTTATGAAAACAAAGACAGAAAAATTGCTCAAAGCAAAACCTGTTCCATGCGCACATGCTTCTGCTAAAACCTGTAAGGAACAATAGCAAGTACATTAAAAAAACAACAACAAAAACACCCCTCATTTTGTTTTTTGTTATCTCAGTCCTACAAAAAACAACAAACCCCCAGCACATTAACCATGCTGATTTGTCACCTATACAGATATCCATAATATCCTATCTAAGAAAGAGGGAATATGCTAATTAACCTTCATGCCATTACAAAGGTGGCAGTGCCCGCAGCCAATATGGAGGGAATATGCTAATTTACTGTCCCACCCCCAAAGATGGCAGTGCCCACAGCCACAAGATGACAGCACCCAGTCTCCTCAGCCATGAGGAATCCCACATTTCCCTCAGTCCCCCAGCTGCCCAGATCGGGCTGCAGGTGCAAGGAAGCCTCAGATGGCAGCTGTCCAGCCATCCAGGGCTGGCCCGAGATGCAGGCAAGTCTCCGATGGTGGCTGCCTAGCCGCTCAGGGCCATCTGAGGCTCAGGTAACCAGGGCTTGCCGAGGCTTGTGCTGCAAAGTGGCAGCTGCAAAGGTGTGATGGGACATCACCTTCCCCTAATTGCTGGGTTACCTCTGAGGGCTCCTGGACTGTGAGAGCAGGCAGGTTGGGCTGAGGGAACCTCTACCAGTGCATGAATTTTCATGTATCGGGCCTCTGGTATACATATATAAGAACTTAAATCTTTACAAATATTTTCTCTTGATGTACAGTGTAAATGAAACAGAAAAAAAACATATTAGAGTGATATTAGTTAGTACTTATATTTTAAAAATTATTAAATTTGACAAAATTTATATTTTGTTTCAAATTTAAATAAAAAATTTTAAATTTATAATATAAAAATTCTGTTTTCTTTCAAAAGCATCAAAGTCAGTAAACCCCAAGGAAGACTGGGGAACTGTCAGATCAGAGGAGATGAAAGTAGTGTGGTAACTAAATGCCATGTGAGATCTGGATTGAATCCTGGAACAGAAAAAGAAAAACTTAGTGATTGAGTGGAGAAACTCAAAATTTAGATAAGGTCTGTAGGTGTTTTAATAGTATACCAGTGTTAACTCTTGGTTTTGATCATCTTATTGTAGTTAGATATGAATCTTAGAAAAGCTGGGTAAAGGGTGGGAAAAAGAACTAAGTGTACTATTTTCTCAAGAGTCCAAAATTATTTCAAAATAAATCATTTACAAAAATTACATCATAAATTGGTTTACAGAAGAACACAGTTAAACAAAAACTCAGCATAATTAGTAATGTTCAAGGTATAGGGAAATTTTTTCCTTAGAAGACTCCAAGATAGCTTTTTACTTCCTGTGTAAGAATGTTTTATGGTCCCAAAATCAGTGACCATATTACACAATAGAGCAATAATTATGGAGTATTATAATGCCATGTATATTTTTAAAAATGCAGCTAATGAAAATAATGATAAAAATATGTACCATTTAGTAATTTGTCATATTAATGACCATGTCATTATTGTTTTTTATGTTCATATGCATAGCATGATTATTTTTTGAAATTTTCCAAAAGAACTTTTTGACAAAAAAGTGTTTTCTAAAATTTAATCAGTTATCCAAACTGAAAATCAAATACATATATCAACTGACATTTTTTTTACCTGAAACTGTGTGATCCTTAGAGTCCCTTGTTATTTTTATCCTTGCATGAGGAAAGATATAGTGCACAGTCTTCCCATTCATCTGTATAATCTAAGACATAAACGTGATAAGGTGAAAAATCAATGTTAAGACACTTAAAGTGCAATATGCAGAACTAGACATTTTAAAAAAGCATATTGAGTCAGTCAATAAAAACATAATACAAGTTTCTGGAATGATCATCACTGAAGCATCTTACACTATAACATTATATTGTTGGTTTCAATGTTCATTATGGCACCAGAAACTGACTAACAAAATAGGTCCAGAGACATGGATGCATGGAATAGATGGACAGATCTCAGAAGAAGGGAAAGAGGGGAAAAGAGACACAGACAATAATGAGATAGTGAGATGAAGGCCTGGGTTGAGGCAGAGGCTGGGAGGAGTGGGGCAAAGGAGTGGGGGGAAAGGGGGACATCTGCAATACTTCAGAAAAAGAAGTGTGTGGGTATACTAAACAAAAATGTTAAACAGAATTTTGAACCACAGAGATGTACATTTGGTGTAGAAAGGTTCATGTGGTTTTAATCTGTCAATTCAGCAGTAAAACTGTTAGAATTTTAGATATTAAAAGTAAAATACAAATTGAAAAAAATACAAGCTTAAATAAAAAGCCTTCAGTTTTAATTCTCCTCAGGAAAGAATAAGCTTAATCAAATCTCTGATGAATATAAAATTTTCCCAAACAACAGCAGAACCCTGTTAACTCCAGGAATATTAGAGGAACCCTACAATCTAAAATACTGTTTATAAGATTACAAAAATGAATGGTCAGTATAATCAGTCAATCTTGATAATTTATATTAATACTAACTTTGCAATCCACTAAAAACCTCATGTATATTCAAAACAAGTGTGTGTTTATTTTTCTTTCATCCTCTTGCTTCCTGTTTTTTTTGTTTGTTTGGTTGTTTTTTGTTTTTGTGGGTTTTTTTTTTGTCTACCTCTCTCTTTTTTAAAAAGCAATTTCCCCCACTTGGTTAAGAAAAAACTAAGGAAACACAATGTTGCCTGTTGCTGTTCTTTGCATTCTCCAGAGTAAGAAGTAGCTATAATCTCTTAGTGCCATGGTCGGCAAACTGAAGCTCCTGAGCCACATGCGGATCTTTGGCTCCTTGAGTGTGGCTTTTCCACAAAATACCATGGCCTGGCTCTCTAAAGAAATTTCAGTTGTTGTACTGTTGATATTTGACTCTGTTGACTAATGAGTTTGCCGACCACTGTCTTAGTGCATCTATTGCCCTTACTAGATACAGAGTAAGGTTTCCCAACTTTTTCATCAGAGCTTTATCAGCTAGCCAGAAAGGCCTTTCAATCTTTTTTTTATCTCCTGTGCCCCACTTACTTTCCATTATTACATCAATTTCTCCTTCAATCTGTACCTAAAGTGATGTTGGTCAGAGGGATATTAAACATCATTACCATAAATGTTGCTTTCAAAACATCTCAAAGAATCTCCTGTAGTTTCAGGGATTGTCTACAACCACCTTCATGGATTCACTTAATAAATTAGAAACATTAACCTGCCATAAATATGATCACTGTGACTGTCTGCAGAAAGAAGCGGTATCTGTCTCCCATGTACGGCCCAGCTGGATCTTTGCTTTTTCCTAACCAGTGCAGGTGAATGTTGAGTGAGTTCTCCAGCAGATGGAGTTTCAGGGAAGGTGCTGTTTCTGCCAAATAAGGAAGAGCAGGAGCAAGGCCAGAGGGGCAGGACTGATGTCGAGTATTGGCACCTTGTCTCATAAGAGGCCAGTGTCTGATAGCATTGTATTTTGATGAGTCTGCACTGAGAGAACTGACCTATTGCCTCCCAGGAAAAAGGACTCTTCCTCTATCCCACTTTCACATATTTCAAAAGGAATTATTTTCATGAAATGAGACTTTATACTTAGAGAATAACAACACTTGCATTAACATACCTGTTAATGCAGACATTCATCTTTCTCTTTACCTCAACGTGAGGCATGCTTTTTCAGTATAGAGAGTGCTCTTTTGGTGTCCCAAGCACTGTGCTAAGCCCTGTATACATGCCCTGGTGGATGGAATAGGGAATCCCTGCTATCTAGGAGCTCATGTCTGTGACACGCCTTATGCAGTACGACTGGAAGAACATCTGCCCTGTATTAGTGGGAGGTGTGAGTACCAAAGAAGGCTTCTTGTAAGATGGGTCATGTTCACCGGGACCTGAGTGATGTGTCCAGTTAGCCAAGAGAAGAGAGGTGGGAGAGCATTCAGGTGGAGGAAAAGAGGCATTCAAAGACCCAGAATCAGTGGAGCTTACTATATGTCAATATATCAATTACATGAGAACTGCAGGTGTGGGCATTAGTGCAGAGTGGAGGTATTTTGTACTGGTCAAGAAGTGTTGACCCAATTCCCATAAAAACAAGCAAACAGAAAAACAAGCAAAAATAAGTTTTATAACCATCCTGTGAAGGGTATTAGTCCTATTTATAGACGAAGTAACTGAGGACAATTTTTTCAAAAAGGAGATCAAGTAATCTGCTCAATTCACAAAGCAGAGTTGAATTTCCATAAAATGAATATGTATGTGTAAGTTTATATTTATATATCTACATGTATATTTAAAATAAAATTATATAAATCTTCAGATTTGGTTTACTCCTATAGTTACTGATTTTGATCTAATAAAAATGTGTATGTCTCTAATATATGTTGTACATAGACTATTTTAAAAAACAGATACATTAGTATTTGTGTTAGTCAATTTGGTTTTATTATTCTTCCCTCTGGAGCATTTTATGGGCATACATTTTGTTATGTATGTTTTCAAATAGAAGCATCTGGATTTATTGGTACTCAGAGCTCAATGTTACTTTTTTATAATTAGAGATGCAAAGAAGTGAGTAAAATGAAAATGACATGTTGCCATTTTCTCTATGCCAAAATATAGCTATAATCAGTTAAAGGATAAAACAGTATTTGGAAATAAATATCAATGTAAAAAGGTATAAATTCTGAACTTATATAAATGTAATAAAAAGTCATGTTGTCTTTTAAGTAGCTTCTATTTAGAAAAAAGTATAAAGAAAAACAAAAAATATATATATTGTTACATAAATCAACATAGTTGTTTTGGGGGGGGGAATGGGTTGACTATTACAATCTGGAAGGGGCACATTGGGATTTCTAAAGGCAGGCCATGTTCCCTTTCTTGGTCTATATGGTGGTTATATGGTTGTTCACTTTATAACTAGTTAATAATTCTAAATATTTGCAACTTTGATAACTACAGTTATAGTTTTCTTTTTGCATGTTAGATATCAAAATGAACATGTAAAATTATAAAAATGTAAAATATAACTTTTAGCAATAAATTACACAATAATCTATTATGCTTACCTAGCTATAGTCCAAACAGGGGTCCTTACATTTTCCACTTTATTAAAAAACACAAGAAATGTATTAAGTGATTCTTAAATTTTGGGGTGATATTGGTCTCTAAGTATACTATCCTATCTAATAAAGAGGGAATATGCTAGTTGTTCATCACACCCTCATAAAGATGGCGGCCCCCACAGGAAGGGAAGGGAAGGAAGGGAATATGCTAATTGAATGCAATGTCCTCAAAGATGGTGGCACCCACAGCCACAAGATGGTGGCACCCAGTCACCTCAGCCCCACTGGAGTGGCAGGCGTGTGGCTCGGCTGAGCTTGCACCCACGCGGTTCTGGCCACTCCGTGCTCCTGCCTCTGGAGTCCCCCAGTCTCCTCAGTCCCCCAGCTGCCCAGGGCTGGTCCAAGGGCAGGCAAACCTCAGATGGCAGATGCCCAGCTGACGCATGAGGCACAGGCAAACCTTGTATGGTGGCTGCCTAGCTGCCCAGGGCTAGCCCAAGGTAAGCCTTGGATGGTGGCTGCACAGCCTCCCAAGGACGCCAGAAATCTGGTAAACCAGAACCACAATGCCAGCAGTGGCAGCAGCAGAGGTGTGATGGGGGTGTTGCCTTCCCCTGATCACCGGGTTGCCTTCCGCCACTGAGGGCTGCCATTTTGTGAGAGGAACTGGGCTGGGCTGAGGGACCACCCCCTCCTCCAGTGCATGAATTTTCATGCACTGGACCTCTAGTTTAAACATAATGTGCTATATGCTCAGTGGATCAAACTCATATATGATGCTAGTAATAGAAAATTAGGAGCAAAAGTGTCATTAGGGATATTAATGCTTTATCTACAGACATTAGAAAGGGATTTTAGAAAATATTTTTTTTGAGGTGCACACAGATTACTTAAAATGTATTCTCCAAAAATATTAGTTAAATAAGTTGAATAAGACTATTGTGAGTATATATGAAAACAGGTGTCAGGAAATAACTGTACAGAAGCCACCATTTTTTTTAATACCTCCACTTTATGTATTTCATCTTATTAGGATTTTTGTTTTCATCTTATTAGGATTTTTGTTTTCAGTGATTTGATCTAGGTTTGTGGGAAATGCTAAACTTCAAAGAAACAAGTAATGATAGGTAAGGCATAATAATTATGAAGTGATTCTTAAAATACATTTAATAAAATTATTTTAGCTAATAAACTTACTATTTTAGTAACTATAGATGAAAATATGTAAATTTGCATTTTAAAAACATATTCAGAATTATTTTACTAATTTTATTACTCCCACCCAGATCTATTTGATGAGATTGAAATACAACTATAAATACAATTCAAGATAAGCTAAGAAATGTATAAATCAATAGTCTATAAATGAAGAACAAAGAAATGGAAGTGTATTCATATGTGCATAGAGGTAACACACCCCTAAAACAAAACTTATTAAAGATATCAAAAATTAAATTTTTTATATGTTTAATAAGTTTTGTTTTAGCTGAAAAGGGATTTACTATTGGGGAAAGGGAGGGAAGAAGAGACTGAACATAAACTGCACCTATAGATGAGGACAATGGGGGATGGGGAGGGGGCGGAGGGTGGGGTGGGAACCTGGTGGAGGGGGGAAGAAATGAGGAACATTTGTAATAATATGAACAATAAAGATTGATTTAAAAAATAATAATAATAATAAAATCTTACCAATTGTGACAAAAAAATAATAAAAACTTCATTTTAACATTAAAAAAAAGATATCAAAAATTTAAAAGAAAGAATATTTGAAACACAGAAGTATCACAGAATTTCTATAAAATGTTATAGCATATAGAAAAACAAAACACAAGAAAATTCTGATAAAAGAAAATTCTATTTAACAGCTATAAGTTTGTCCATGAAAACAGAAATTGCTAAGAAAAAAAAAATCTAAGCATATAAATACTGTCTTTTGACAGTACTTATTATTCATGCCAAAGTGTTTTCTTTTATACCTTAATGTGGCAAACACTGAAATAAATTATAGTAATCTCATGGTTCTTTTTTGTTGTCTTCTACATCAATGAATTAGTAATCAGACAGGATGATTTGGGAATTAATATATGTAAAATAAGTAACTTTCTCTTTTGTGGTTGTTTTAATGATGATTATGAGTAACAGCCTGCAAATATCTGATCTGTTAAAGCAATTATTGAAAGCCATTGGCTTACTAAAGAAATCTTTCTTAATTTATCAAACCATTGATCTCCTATGTATCTTTCAAAATCCAACCGAAATATCACATCATTTACTCTAAAGTGAATAACTTCCTTTGAATAACTTTCTTCAGCTAATTGTGAAATTTATCTCTATATTTCAGTGTCTTTATCTATAAATAGGTATTAATTAATAACACCTACTTTATGTGAGTTCTGACAATAAAATACAAAAATGAATACAAAACACTTACATTCAATACACTTTAAAATATGTTTCCTTCATTCCCCAAGGGAGGCCTTCCATGTCCCCAGCTAACTTGGTTTAGTCATCTTATTTGCTATTCATAACATATGAACACTCTGTTATTGGAAAATATTGAAAGTACCCAAATCTATTTCACCCCCTCGTGTGTAAATTCTTTAGGAGCTTTAGGTATTCTACTTGAGTGTTGTGTCTGATGCAGAAACATTATCTGTTGGAGGGATGAATCACTTAAATTGCCTGGTGGAAGAATCACAGCTATGCTATCACATCAAACAAGTATATATATGCATGTGGCTGAAAAAGTAACCTAATTACTACTTCAAAATTGTAAACTTTAATGATGGAAGTTTCATGCATTTTAGTATAATTGAGACCATTCTGGGATAAATTGTTTTGGAGAGGGCAGTATAAATCTAAAAGAGATTGCTCAAAATAGTACTTACTTGCTCTTGATGTTGACTGAGTGGTCTAGAGTGGACCAATCTTTCTGGCAGTTTTCGATCCAGACCATGTCCATTTTCCAAACGAGATTCCCTGGGTTTGTCAAACCAATCTGTTTCTTCACGACGCAGATGATAGGCTTTGGGGACCAAGGAAATATAAAACACTGTAACCCCAACTAATACAAATGATAGAGGGCATAAATGCTCTGAAGCACAACATGCATCAGGCTTGTTATCCATTCATGCATTTCAAATACAACTCCAAATGGAGCAAAATCATTCCCAATACTATGTTTAAAAAAATATGTATCATGGAATAACCTAGAAAAAAATCATCTACACACATGTGCAACCTCTCAGAGCCAAAGAAAACAAAAGTAGATTTTAAAAACTGAAAAAAAAAATTTAGAGAGTGATTGAAATAAAGAAGTGAATATACCTTAGAAGTCATTTTATTCAATCATAGTTCCCACCTCCTCATCTCCTCACATCATCCATCTCTAGTCTAAAGAAAATGTACTCCTCAAATACAGAAGATTTTGTCACTTTCCCACTATCACATCAAACAAGTATATATAAATTTGTGGCTGCTGGCTTTGAAAATCAAGTGAGTATTTTTTGAAAACATTATGTTTTTATTACATTTATAAATAAAACATCATTTCTATAAAGATTCCAGGTATTATTGCTAGGAACAAATGTGCCATAATCATATGGTAGTCCTAGTATTAAGAACTAGAGGCCTGGTGCACGAAATTCATGCATGGATAGGGTGCCTAGGCCTGGACAGCAATCAGGGCCAATTAGGGTCTTCTGGCTGCTGGCCAGGGCCTTCCTCCATTCTGTGCCACACCTTGGCAGTCAATGCATATCACAGAGAGTGATTGAACTCCTGGTCAAATTCTCACAGGGACACTTTGCATATAGCCTTTTATATATATAGATATGTCATTTAGAATTTTTATTAAAAATAAAACAATTATTTTCTGTGAGATCTAGGAATTAGATTGAAGAGTTAATTAGCTTTCTTTCATACTAATAGTGTAACAAAACTTGATATCTTAAAATACTTTTCTGAAAATACAACCAATTTTAAGTACATAATTATTATTTTAGTTCTTAGTACTTCCAGTTTTTTGAAGTTATTAGTGATCAAAAAATCTATTTTACCTAATATACAGAATTTAACTTTATACTTATAAAGTTTTATTCTTGGTTTAAAAAAAAAATCCCTACTTAATAGTCTTTGGAAATATTTTGTTGCTTCCTAAATGGGAGATGGAACAGCTTTGTTAAGTGCTCATCCTAAGAGATTGGTTGGTGATAATATCAATCTATTCTTCCTGGAAAGTTACTTCTACAGTGCCACACTGTTGAATTCTATAATACTATAGCTTTCTCTTAACATCAAATACCTGATGTTAAAAACTTAACTTTCAAAACTTCCTCCCATGACTTTTTTAAAGGCGATTTTTATTATTCGTTTTTCATTACTTATTACAAACTCACCACATGTACACTATTACTTACTTCTACCTCTTGTGATCCTGGTCAAAGATAGTAATTAACCACAACATTTCTTAAAAAAAAAAAAAAAAAAAAGGAAAAGATGAGAAATGTGTCATAATTCATTCAGTCAGTCTTAGATTTGATGAAATACACTGATATGTATCTGATATGAGTTGTATACGTACTTCTCTGATCTCCCCTATTAGGTTCTAAGCTGCTTGAGTGCAAGGCTCATATCTTGGTTTTTATTTCCTTCCCTCAACACTAAAAACAATGCCTTGCATGTGATAACATTCAGTAAGTATTTATAAATTAATAAAACAGAAAAATTAGCCATCAACTAGAGAAAAAGTTAAATATCCTAATTATAACATGCATGTTTTAAGATAAATATTAAACTGTCCCTTAGACTTCATTCATAGTTATACAATCATTTCTTATAATCTACTGGATATTTATGATTTTTCATAGTTTTAATTAGATCTGAATTGACTAAATTTATGAAAAATATTTATCAAAAATAGTAATAAAATTTGATAAGCAAATAGAGAACAAATCCATTATTTAATCATCAGATTAAAATTTTATGATTGTCTCAACACCAACACTATTTTATCTTACTTTTTTATATATTTATCATATATACATATATATATATTATAAAAAGAAAAAAAATAATCTATACTGATTTAATAAAAGAATATATTGGATAATGCAATACATGATTTCACTTGAATATATAATTCTGCTAATTGAATTTGAAATACAATCCTTTGAAACATGTTTTATTGGCTGTGTCTATACAAAAAAGGCATAATCCCAGCTTACTCCAAATGTTGTCAATTTATTTACATTTCTAATGATATACTTTGATTGTCTGATACTAATTCTATGTGTACGTTAGGATGTATATCATGACTTTCATAGGAATTTATAGAACCACCTGAAAAAACTGATTGAATATCTGCTTTCATATTAAACTGTCTTTATTATTTATAGTAAGTTAGATATAAATGCTAATTGTTTATAACTACAATTAACTTATTAGCCATGGCAGATCTTCACTTTAAACATCAAATTTTATAATAATAGCATTTTCCAAATTAATTTAAATAATTTGCTAGAGATTAACATTTCCCTTTTTAAGACTGACTGATATTTTCTTGTATTTTTAAATGTAAAATATAAAAGTAAGCTATTTTGGGATCTAGCATTATTCACAGCTAATTATTACATGAATAGTTTAATTCTATTTAGATTCATTCAAACTAGTCATTACAATAGCCAGTACAGAAGAAAGTGATTAGTTGTTAGAATTTCATTAGAAAAAGCAGTTTGTCCTCCAGATCTTGTGATTACTTTAGTCCTTTTCAAATCTAGATTTGAATTTCTAAAATCATTCTGATGGCTAGATACAGAGGTAGGAAGAAAATCCTTGTCATGAAAAAATATTTTCGTGTGAGTTCTCCAAGAAAATGTATAATTTAAAAGGGTAGATATTCTTGTTAGCTTAGTGCTTTGCAGTCTCCAAAGGCATGAAGTAATACACTTTTATTTGATCAAAAATATTTTATTTCCATGACTCAAAACCATGCCTACATTCAAGTAAACCACAGAGGACTCCTGATCCAGTTCTCTTACCATGAGCAAGCCTCCTTACATCTCTATACCTCTATTCCCTTATCTTCAAAATTAGATTGGGACTAGGTAATTTTCTAAAATACTTATGGTTAAATATGATTAAACCACAGCAACGAAAACACCATAGGCTAGTTTTTAGTTAGGTATGTATGTGCCTTAAATCACTTATTCAATATGAAAAACCAGTTAAACAATTTAGGGCAAAAAAAGGGATGATGCAAAAGGCAAAGTCAAGGAAAATACTAAACAAGTACATCTGGAGGGGTTCAGCTTCAACTAAGTAAACTCATAAAAGCATTGTACAAAATTTGAATTGTAAACATAAAAAATACTTTTAATATACTGATAAGATTATTTATTGTCAATGTCATACTCTGTGTTAAGTTTTCTAGTATATAATGCAAAGGTACAGACTTGGCAATTATGGTATTCATATTGAGAGAGAGAAAATACAAACCTTTTACTTAAGAAGAATTATAAAATTCTTCATTATACTAGTATTATTTGAGAATATTCTCTCAATTAGTAAGTATAGTCTCACAAAAATGACATAAGTAATTTTCTATTACAAAGTCTAGCAGAATAGTACTTAATGGCTCAAAACCTTAATAATTTCACAAACTAAAAGAAACTGACAATTTTAAAAAGAAAAGACAATTAAAATGTTTCCAACTATTTAGCGAATTATGAATTTAAAGAATTACCATTTTATTGACACAATTATTGATAATAATTTTAGAAAAGAGGGGACAATGAACAAATCAAGCAATTAAGAAACACCAATAAAAAAAATCTAAAAAGAAATAAAGAAAAACATGCTATAAAATTTATACACAAGATACAATTTCTATTTACAAAAAATAAAATTAAAGTAAACATGCAAAAGACAAACCAAGAAAAGTACAATACATCCTTAGAGAGGGAAGATTAAACATGCAGAAAAATAAGAGTCTGAGTTTTGAGGGTAACAAGGAATTCTGAGGCCCAATTTACCTTCACTGTCTGACATGGCATGTTGGAAGTCATCCATGATGAAAGCTATGTCACGGTCATAGCCTCGAGTCCGTGATTCTTCTCTCATGTGTTGCTGAACTTCAGGCAATGAGTGACTTGATCCAAACTGATCTCTGGTGTCTGCAGATATTGGTGGCAGGGGTCCAGCTGCAGCCCTGGCCATTCCCATTGGCTGGCCAACAGGACTGAGTGGACTTTCTTCTTCAGAATTCTGGGCCACGATTGGTATTCTTCCTCTACTCTGGCTAATTGGCAAACTGGTAGGCTTAGTTCTGCCAGAGGGTGATGCATGACCAAAGGAAACATCTAGAGCTTCAGCTTCTTGAGCTTTCAGTCTTAGAGAAGAACTGGAAGAATCTCTTTTTATTGATAAATCAAGCCCGTAGACAGAAGAAGGTCTGGAAGAAGGTCTGGACCTGCTGCCACTACTGTATGGCTTGTCCGCTTCATCCTGCAGAGCTGACCGTATGGTATTCCCTAATGTCCCCAGTCCTGAGCCAAGAGATGATCCCACAAATTTTTGTTGGTCTGTGATATTTTTTCGGAGGCCAAAAGTGATTTCATCTTGAAGAAGCCTTGCTCTGGAAGAGATTCCACCAATAGAAGAAGTGCCAGAGGTCATATAGCTTGAATAATCAGGTTCAAGGTCTCTGCTTTCTTGAATGGGTGAAAATTTTGACATTTTAGGATCAATTAGTGATTTCTTATGCTTGGACTGCTTTTGATAGAGTATGGCTGGTGGAAGTTGTTTTGCTGCTTGTTTTTCAAGTGTGAGTCTACTAATGCTGTACTTTTCCGATTTGGGAAAATGTCTATAGCTGGTATCACCATGGTAATAATGGGAAAGACCGGCCAGGTGATCGAGGTTCTCTGCCCCTCTACGGAATTCTTGTTTAATCTGCTGCTTCAGAAGCTTTAACTCGTAAGGATCCTCCATCGGATCTTCCTCTGCTTTCACATAACTATGCAATCTTGAGGAAGTCTGCAGAGGTGCTAGGAAATCGGTCACTTCTTGAGACCTCCGTGTTTCAGTCGTTCTAAGGAGGCGGTCTGTTTTGGACAGATCTTTTTCGTGAAGATTAAATGCAGTGGTTAACGCTGCTGTTCCTTTGGCGATCTCTCCAATGTCATCAATTAGGACAAAATTCCGTGAAGTGTGGTGGTCAAGATCTGCGTAAAAGGAATCTCCAGAAATGCTTGATATTGGACTGCTTGCCATGCTGCTTCTCTCCTCCAACCCCATTCTCAGGTCTAGGCTATTGTACTTACTACCAAGATGGGAAACGGCGTATGTATTGTCAGTAGAAACAGGTGCTATCATCAGGGGCTGGTTTCGAATCACCTCATAGTTTGAAGTAATCTTGGGCTCCAGATATAACGTAGTTTGCCGTGGCTTTTGTTGTATCACCATCATCTGTGACGGTAACTGGTAAGAAGGTTGTGGGGCTGGTGTAGGTTGAGCTTGAGGTGTGAAGGACATTGTTGCCACAGCTTGGAAGGTTGGCTGAGTCTGATAAGGTGAAACCTGCTGGTGGTACAGAGTTTGTTGCTGAAAATGGGATTGCTGGGTGTACGGGGTGGGTGCCTGGGTAGGAAGAGCAGGAGACGAGTATTGGTATTGTGTGTAAGGACTCGTAGGAGGAACTAGCTGAGATTCTGTTTGGGTTTGCGGGGGTATGAACTGGCTGAATTCGGTTTGGGGAGCGGTTCTCGGTCGCTCTAGGCCATGCTGACTTTCTACTCGGGATGGCCTGGTGCTGCTCACCTCACTGTCAGACATGTAATCCCGTTCCTCAGCCACCCCCTGGAGGTAGGCTCGCTCTCTCTTCTCTCTCTCCTTTAACAGTGCCTCCTTCCTCCTGTTAATTCCCATTTCCAGGTACCGTAACTTGGCGTCTATCTCCTTCTCTTCCTCATCAAGCTCTGCTTGTTTCTTTCTAAGTTTTGCAGACTCTCTCTCTACAAGATCAAGTTCTCGGTCTATATCCTGGAGAATCTTGGCGCGTGCCATTGTGTTGGTTCTGCAGATCCTTCTCCTGGAAGCTGTGCCCATTGTGCTGTACGTTGACTGAGTCCCTGTGGAGGTCTCCTCAGGAGGTGGGTTCGGCAGAGTTCTCTTCACTTTTTTCTGGGTGCCAGAGGGTGTTGTAGTTTGAGAACCTTTTGTCTGTAATTAAAGAAACAAAATATAGTACTTTATTATCAAGAAAAAATTAAAGATAAAAAACCTTCCCCCTTTACATTTAAATAAATATGATTTCATATATGTTTTAGGTATGACAATATAATACAATAACATTTTTATATATAATTTTACATATTAGCCACAAGTGCAATTAACTGAAAAATCATACTTTCTTTCTTGGTAGATTGGCTTTTTATTATTGTAACTTCTACAACTTTAGAAACTAGTTTTGAAATCAAGCACAAAACTCATTACTAGGCAGACATATATTAGAATCTTAATGATTAAGTTAGAATCTTAGAACTCTAAAAACTGATTTTCCATCCTATTTAATATAAGATTATTTACGGAATATAATCCTAAAATATTTGTATTAATTATCTAAGGTTTAAGCTACATTTGTTATGGATAATGCTTATTTGCCACTAAGTTCAGTTATTTGCCTCAATCTTTCTGTTCCTATTTTTATTCCCCAAAATAGCTGTCATTTCTATTCCAATCATGAAATGTTTTGGAATTATACTCTCAAGTTCTTTAACCTTTTTTTTTCTCCAAAAAAAAAAATAATATCAACTAATTTTCCATTTAATCTTTCAATATTTATGTGACTATTTGGATCTTTTATTTTCTTTCCACTTTATTATTATTATTTTTTTTAAATACAGATGACCCCTTCACTTACCCCCTCCAAACCTACCCCTCTCTAGGCCTTTGAGGCACTATTATCTGTGTCCATGGTATGCCTATATGCCTATAAATTCTTTAATATCTTTCAGTACCTCCTCTCCTCTTTCCTCCAAAAGAGAATTATAAACTCGCATCAATTAATGCAACAGTAAATGCTGAACCTAAATGCAGAGAGAAAGCATACAAAACAAAGATAGTAACTATGGAATGGAGTAAATAAATAGAATGAAAAGAAATTTCTAGGGTGGATACATACATTTTTAAAATTATTTTTTAAAAATATTGAAGGTATACATTAAATGGGTGCACATATTTGTTAAATGAAAGATTGAGTAAATAAAAGGGTGAAATAAGAACTTGCTGTGATTAATTTTAAAATTCCTGAGTTATGAAGGGAATTTCTTAGAATTCACTGAGTAGAATGAGTGTATACATGAAATCATAGGAAAAACTAGAACAACGAGGAACCACAAAAGAAGACTACTGAATTAAGAGTAATTATTAATAAAGTGAACTAGAAATCGATACTACTTTTTACTACTTATTGCTCATACATGTATGAATTATTTCCTAATTTAACTTTATGAGACAGTAGGCTTAGTCAAAATCTTTTTCTTTTGCTAATGAAATCCTAGATTAAAGAAGCATTCCAGGTACTGGGGATTTCTAATTATCCTCCAGAGTTGCAAATATTTGATCACTGATGACTTGTGTTAATTAATATTTTGTGTGCCATTGATGTGAGTCATGAAAGCAAGAGGATTAACCAATTAATGCAACAGTAAATTACATACCCACTGAATTAGCCTAGTTAGCCTCCACAGATCGTACTAGCCTTGCTGTTATCCACTTGCCAACATTAATAGCTTTTACTCTGACTATAGAAACAATGAAAAATATGGGAATGGCTCCAGGTCTCTGCCGTATTTCTTATAAGTGATAGGGAGTGTAAAATAGTGATAAGAGCTTGTTTAAGCCGAAACCAGTTTGGCTCAGTGGATAGAGTGTTGACCTGCGGACTGAAAGGCCCCAGGTTCAATTCTGGTCAAGGGCATGTACCCTTAACAAAAGAAGGATAAACAACACAATAAGAAAAAAAAAGGGCATTGGACCTAAATAGATACTTTTTGAAAGAGGACATAAGAAAGACCAAGAGACATATGAAAACATACTAAAGTCCAGGCTATTTTAAACAATTGGTTTCTCAGGGGAATCAATTTAAACCATCTATCTTATATGTAAGGGAAAATATTTTTTTCTTATTCTGAGTGTCAAGGCTGTTTATAAAAGTAGCTAAGGTACACTATCCTAAGAACTTCAAATATATAATATGTATATGCATTATCTCATTGTCAAAATAATCTAAACTTAATCTAAGGATGATTAAAGGGTATAGTTGCACAACATGATTAGAGATAACAATTCCTTCCCTCCCCCAAAAGTGAAGATAAAAATAGATGCTGGATCAAAATTATTTATCAATTGTTATATATAATAAATATGGCAAAAATCAATTTACTAATTTATTCCAGTAGTTGTTAAGTATAATTCTAAAATCCATTATTCTAGATATTAATAGCATAGAGTAAAAAGGCATGTGATTAAATGAACTTAAAAGATGTTTTCAAAGAACTCACAAAGTTAGGAAATTTTTTAATAATGTATGAAGAAACTATTTCAGTCTTTTGCTAAATATAGCTCTTGTTAATATCAGAGACATAATGAGTTAGGAGTGTATTTTTCATCTTATACATATATAGAAAACTATACTTGCTGTAGGAAATCAATGTTCATAATGATTAAATATCTTGGATTTTTAAGATTGTTTTCTTTCAATGAAGGAGAAATATTTTTATGAAAGCCTTTTACTTTTAGATAATGGAGCTGTGGATTCACTTACAAATAGTACAAATCCATACATATTTATTAACAAATATGATACTTTGATGAGATAAATATTGTATAACCTATTAAAAGGTCACCAATATACCAAGCTAGAAGGTGAATTTGAAATTATATAAATAGAGTGTATTGGGATATAGAATAAGAAGGGTTTCCTTTCAGTTTAGGGAAGGAAGGATGGATTAAAACATAACAACTAGCCGGTTCTTAAAGAATGGATGGGAATTAAATAGGAGTATATTTTATACTGCTCTCTCTCTCTATGAGAGAGAGAGCAGTATAAAATATAATTTATCACAGAGGTACCAATGATTATCTGCTTTTACTTCATCCTAGTGATGAATTAATACCTGAGAGATGGAAACACATTCAGGAAGTATCTAATGTAAATCGGAATTTTTTTTTTAATAAAGAATACCTTGAATAGCTGTATCTATTTTAAAAGTTCCACTCATACATTTTCTTCTTTTACAGATAGAAAAGGCAATCCTAGATATTGCATACTGACCACATTAACTCGAACATTATGTGAGATGCCAGGGCAAACCATGAAAATGTGAACGTGTAATCATTGGCAATGGCTTATAATATAGTGTAGTGGATAGCAATCAGTGTTGCTTTGTCAACGAGAATATTGTGACAGCCCAATTTAAGTTCCTTCAATGATAATGCAGCATGTCGATGACACAGAAACAAGAGATGCAATCTGTAGGGCTTCAGCCAAGCTTTACATTGTCCCATGACATAATCACCAACATAGTTTTGGCCATAAGAATGAAAAATGGTCTTATAATTTGTCAGGGATCCGTATGTATACCATGGCTATTCATGATCCAGAATCAATGGAAATAAGCAATTAATGTTTCTTAGCCTTGTCAGTAATGACATTTTTGACTGAATAATTCTACGTTAAGGATGGTGGTGGCTATTTTGTGCACTGTAAGATGTTTAGTGTAACTCTGGCCTCTGTAGACTAGATGTCATGAGCATATCCTCCTCCACTCAGGTAAATCAAATGTAACTAAGTGTTCTCCAGAATCTCAGGGTGGTGGGAATAATCACTGTACTGTTGATACTTGGTTCTGTTGATTAATGAGTTTGCCAACCACTTGTCTAGGCTATAGTTACAAGCTGAGCAAATGAATAAAGATAGGAATGTATTAGATATTTCTGTCTTGTTATAAATTTTTATGATCCTAAAATTAATCCCTTTATTAAATATGATAATTCTTATATACTGGATTAACATGAACTAAGACTCAAAAGATATTCAACCATGTTCATAAAATTATAGTTTTATTAGAGAACAGAAAGAAAAAATACTGATACCTACAGCTATGAAAATTAGTCCTTTCAGTATAGAAAATTAATCTTTATAGTCTAGCCTCATAAAAATCTTGGGAAATGTTCCACAGATGCAAAAAGTAAAGAAAAATCAGAAGGTAAGAAATTGCCAGCCTCGTTAAAAAAAAGTGTAAATGATAGTTCTTTGTTAAAGGTTGTCAGTTACTTTAATTTCAAAGAAGAATCAATGGTGGAATTAAAGAGTATACAAACTTAAAAAGACAGGATAATTATTAAGTTTAAGAAATTAAACACTAGAGTCACTAAAGGAGTTCAGATGCATAGCTAAGATCAATTAAAAAAAAATCCTTGCCATCATCAATCTAGTTTAAGAAAAAAGAATTAGAACAGTAACTACAAAAAAAAACAAAAAACAAAAAACAAAACCCTCAAAAACATTTGCCTGATATATCAGTGAAATTTTTTTTAAAAATTGAGTAGAAAAAATTGTTCTTAGGATTTGTCCCACCCCATTTGGACTTTTACACAGAACTTCCATTTACTTTGTAGATGACAGCAAGTCTTTGTCTTGATAAGGAGAAGAATAGTCATAGGTTGTATCCTGCTCTCTGACTTGATTTGCTCTGTTGTGTATCTGGCCATTCATTCTTCTTAGGATGTAAATATCATCTATAAAAAACTATGTGCTTAAGGTATTAGGAAGGTAGGACAATGTCTAGGATTTTTCTCCTTCAATCAAGATAGCTCTTAGAAAGATATGAACATAGGCTAGCATATTTCTTTGAGTTTTGGAAGTTAGGGTGAAGGATAATGATAAAGCTTAAGGAAAGCGTAAGGCTGCAGACTGGGAAATATGCCTTTACATATCCCATCTCATATGGAAGCAGATTTCTAATATCGAAGGTCAATGTAAACATTAATTCACCTTCGAGGGGTCTCTCCCACACCAATATCAACAGTTTCCAATATTAGACAAATTAGCAGTTGGATGTAAAAATATTCTGCTTTCTATTCTATGCACCGCATCATTAATAGCATGTTTCCGAAATAGACACATTGTTTAACACCATCTCACCCTCACGCCATAT